TCAGCTCTCACATCTAAGTAACAAAAGCCTGCCCAGCTCTGACTCCTGTGGGCTACCAAATCGGACACACCTGCCCTGGGCAGCAGCCTTAGCCCTGATTTGGGGGGCAGATTCAGGGTGCTGGCTCCCACATTGCCACCTCAGAGCCTCTGCCCCTCACAGGGCTGTACTGCCTGGGCTGCAAAGCCTGCCACAGCCGGGCCTCAAAGGTGTCCTGTTCCCGGAGCAGCCAGGACCATTAGGCCCCTGCCTAGGACTGGGTAGGTGACTTTGGTTGCAGAGCCAGGGAGCCTGCAGGCCCAGCAGAGAGGAAGGTAAGGGTCCACGTGGCTCGCAGCAGCAGGGTCAGGCTGCCGCCCTCTGGGTGGGGGCCTGCCTGCTGTGCATGGCACTCAGAACACTGCTCCTTGTGGTGCTGAGGCTGGGGCCATGGTTTACCAACCCCAATTCTCACGGCTCAAAGCTGGCCCAGCAGGGCTCTGAGACAGGAGCACCTGTGGCTCTGACGCATGACACTTCTCCCCCAGGATCCCCTGGGCTGGGGCTCGGTGCTCCCCTCCTCTCACTGGTGCTGGTGTCAGTTGGCAGCCTCATGCTGGCCTCAGGGACCTGGCTCTGCCCACAAGGAACTCAGAGGTGGGGGAGGAAGGCAGACAGTGTAACACTCAGCTCAGGGCTTCCAGAACACAGGGCCTGTGGGCATCTGAGAAGGGAGGGCCCTCACTGATGAAAGGGGTCAAAGGAGAAGCCCACACTGGGTGTTGAAGGATGAATAGGAGTTCAACAGGTATTTTTGGCAAATGAAACAGAGTCATGAAAAGGCACAGATCTGTGACAGCTGGAGAATTCCAGAAACTGTTCAGTGCTCCCATGGGGCTCCCAAGGAGCTGAGCTCTGGAGCTGGCAGCTTCCCTCTGGATCTCTGAATGCCCTCGACATTCTGCACTTGGACTGTCCCCACAGTTGGACGGGAAGTCCTGGACAGTCCCCATCTACCCGGACAGCTGGCCATGGTACGGCATTCCCTCCTCCACCCATGCCCTCCCGCTGTACTGAGATCCTGCCCTGCCTTCAGGGAGGCCCTGTCTTTGCATCCACCCACACATCCATGTATGTTTCTCCTCAACTCTCAGCAAGGCAGCGCAGGGTTGGGCTCTGCCACCAGTTGAGTGTCACCTTGGGCAAGACCCAGGCCCTCCTGGCCAGTTTCCCTTTCTGGAGCCTGAGGACATTCATCAGTGCAATTTCCAGGGACCCTCTAGGCAGCTGGGTCTCCCACTGTACAGAGAGCCACAGTGAGGTGGAGGTGGAGCCCAAGGGAGGCCATTTTGGAAGGAATCTCAAGTGCAAAAAAGAGCACAGCTCCCTGCCCCAGGGCAGCAGTTTCCTCTGCTGGACAGTGGGGATCATGGACACCCTGTCGGGAGCTTCGAGCATCAGCTCCATTCAGAAAAGTCACGGCCACCCCGGCACTGCAGTGCAGCCAGCACATGCAGCCTGCACGGCACCTGGAGGCGAAGCTGTTTTTCTCCACGATGGCTTTGGATCTGGCATCTCGGATTTTCTAGGTGAGGATGAAGGTGAGCACTCAGCCCCAGGAGGGTGGGTGGAGGGAAGAGACCACACTTCTTTTCTATTCCTGCTCCACATTTTCTAAATTTAGCTTTCTTATTTTAAAACTGCAAACGGTGAACTCCCTGACACCTTGCCAAGGATCAAAGTCAGTCTTTAAGAATGTTCTTTGGAAGAAAGTGTTTGGAAAAAGAAACATAAAAGCACGGCGCACACCTGCCATTCTTCCCTATAAAGTGACCTAAAAAGGGAAGGGGCCGGCGCCCACAGGGCCTGTGTTGAGAAATCAGACCCGCAGAGGGTGGAGCTAAGAAACTGCCACAGTGGCTTTTCTGCGGAGCCCTGGGTGGCCCCCACCCTGGAAGGGTCAGAGATTTGGGTTGGTTCAAGGACACCAGCTTGGAAAACAAATGGACTTCAGGGGCACAAATGTCGATGGCATTTGTCCCAAGTGGAGTTCGGTGACAATCTGCAAAGTCCTTTCCTTTGCCTCATCTCTCCTCATCTCCACAGGCCCACTTTACAGATGAGAAAACAAGGCTCAGAGAAGCAAGGCCCCTGCAAAGGCCTCAGACCAGCAGGAAACGGCCCTGGGATGTGAGCTGGTCTCCTGACTGCAAGTCCCACAGGTGGCAGTCAGGGGCGATGTGTGCCAAGCACAGGAGTGAGGCCGGGAGCCCAGGGAGACAGGAGGCCTCTCAACAGCTATGTCCCAGCACTCGGAAGCCTGACACAGTGTCACGTGCGATGGATGCTCCCGTTAAGTCAGTGGTAACTCGAACACATCACAGTAGGGAACAATCAGCAAGCACTGCGATGAAATTCTCAATGACAAAATCGTCATCAGAAGGTGGAAAAGCACTGGGGTTTGCGCTGGGTCAGGAAGCAGAGCATTTGGAATCCAAGGTCTGGGGCAGTGAGAAGTGGGGATGGGAAAGGGAGTGAGAAACGCCGGGAGAAGGCCAGGCCTCCCTCCACCCCGAACACTGCAGCTTTCCCACCCGCCCTGTGTCCAGGCTGATTCGTACAGCCCTCATTCATTCCACAAACACGTGCTGAGTCCTGCTCAGGCCTGGAGCTGGGGAGACACATCCTCATGAAGGTATTTGTAGGGGGGTCCTGCATTTGGGGAGGAAATCGCTTTCCCTGCTACAAATTACAGTTCCCACCACACCTGCCCGAGGAACCTGGGTCTGGAGCATGCGTGTGACAGAAGTCAGCCAATTCGAGTCCTTCCCTGGACTTGTCAAATGGGGACAAATGAAGGCGGTAGCCCCAGCTGGTGGCTTCTGTCATGAGACTGAACCTGGACAAGCTCAATGCCCAGAGAGTGACAGGGACAGCAAGGATAGGAGCAAGGCCCACCACCCCATGGCCCACTGTGGCGAGGTCTGAGAAGGGAGCCACATCCGCCTCTGCCCTAAACTGGCTCAGCTCCTGCGTCAAGTGGTCGGTCTGACACTAAGTCCCAGCACCGCCCCTTGGGTGCCTATGACACACGGGCCCTAGTGGGAGACACACAGACCCAGCCTCATGATCCCCTGGAGATGGACATTATGTGTTCTCGTTTCACAGAAGGCGAAACTGAGGCCCTAGGAGCTAGGCAGCTTGCCGGAAGTCACACGGCAATGAAAGACAAGGGCAGGTCCCTGTCCTGTGGTTGGGCCACGCGTGCAGTCACTCATGGAAGGCCCACTCTGTGCCGGGGCCAGGCACCAGCAGGGAGTGGGAAGCCCAGCCTGCGCCATGTGCTTCACTGCAAATGCAGGTGTGGGGCCTCGGCGGGGCAGGGGGCTCTGTGGGGAAAGGGGCTGAGGGTGAGGGCAGCTTCCCCAAAGACACCATCCAAGCGAGCCCCAAGGGAGTGAGGGAGCCTAGGGGAAGGGAAGGGTGGGCGCAAAGGCCCTGGGGCATCATCAGCCTCCTGGGTGGGAGGGATGGGGTGGGCTCCATAGGTCACAGGAGCTCCCCTCTCAGAGCAGGAGGAGAAAGGGCAAAGGCAAGAGGTGTGACAAGGGGGAGGCTGCAGCAGCCACGTGGGGCAGAGGGTGGGGACTGCCCATCTCCCGCGCCAGCCTCAGCCCCCACCACCCTGCTCAGGCCAGTGGCAGTCTCCACTTTTGCCGGTGACCAAACTCACCGGGCATGGGGTAACTCTTTTCACCAAAGGAGCCATCTTGAGCCTGAAAGTAGAAATACATAGAAGGTGCTCCCACTATGGGTCATGGGGACACTGCCCCACATAGGCCAGGGGATCTAACTCACTCTGTCCTCAGGGGCACAGTAGGGGGACACTAAGGCCATGCACTCAGCAACCCCAGTGCTCAGCTCCAGCTTCCCCACTCACAGACAAGCACACAGTAGGTGCTGCAGCTCCGATGCCTGCCGTGTGTGTGGCAGGCTCTGCAGTGACTGTGGGGCAGGAGGGCTCAGCCCTCAGAAGCCCCACCTTGGGGCCTTTGCACGGCTCTTCCCTCTGTCTGGGATACTCCCGCAGAGCCCAGAGATCCCAAGGACCCCCTGGACACACTGACATACAGGTCTTCACCTACCAGCCCCAGGCCAGCTTTAGCCCCCTCCCAGGACACCCCACAGACTTGGCCTTCTCTGACCCTCACTTTGAGCCTGCAGGCTGGCTCTTCCAATGCCCACTTTACAGATGCGGAACTGAACCTGGGAGGGGAGTGGTGCCTCGCCTCACCTCGGCTACAGTGACAGTGGAGCAGGGACAGAATTGGGGGAGAGGGAGCCCAGTGCCCACCTCCTCCTGGGTCTCCCACTGCTCTGGACCATGGGCAGTCTCCTCACAGCCTCTGCCTTTCTCCACTAACTCCCTTGCCAGGGACACCCTCTTCACCAAATTGAGGTCTGCCTCCTCCAGGAAGCCTTCTAAGATACCAGTGGGCCCCACCCTCACCTGTTGGCAGATCCCTGGGCTCCTGGAGTGGCCCCTCAGTTACAATTCTGGTGGGGGTTCCTTCTCATCAGCCTGTGCAGGTTCCTGGGGAGCCAGGCCTCCTCCCAGCCCAGCTTGTCCAGGCTCCTTAAGGGTCCCTTGCTTTTCCATGTGGCTCCTTCACCAGACGGGCACACCTGCATGGGCAGCATGCACACTGGCAGGGCAAGAGGCCGCCCAAGGGGCTCAGGGCTTAGGCCAACCAGGGGCCCAGCTGGCCACACTCCTGGGGAGCGCAACGGGCTGGGGCCTGTGAGGCTGGTGGGGTGCAGAGCTCCAGCGGAGTCCCTGAGGGCAGACCAAAGACCCAGACCACCCCCGCCTCAGGACTCCCCTGCTGGTACCCGCAGAGCGGTCAAGCGAGCTTGACCCCATCTCAAGCTCGCACAGCTCTCTCTGTCTCCAGAGCCCCAGCAGGCCTGGGAGGAGGGAGGTGAGAAGAGGCTGCTAACGCACGCTTGTTGCTGAAATAACTTAAGAAATAGCAAAACATACATTTATTGAGCATCACCGGCTGCCTGCCAGGCAATTTCATTAGTGTAGCCCTCACACTCCTGACACAAACAGACTTTTGTCCCCACTTTGCAGATGAGGAAACGGGCTCAGAGGGCGGTGCCCAGGACCCACAGCCAACCTCTGTGCTCATCCCTCTCATCCACCCCTGAGGAGGAGGGGCGCTCCAGAGCCCAGCTGGCATCGGGACAGTTCCATGACAAAAAGCTCAGTGCCAGATCTTCACGTCCCCTCCCCAGGAGCAGGTGGCGAGGACGGAGGGCAGCACGGGGTGGTAGGTGGTGCCGACACAGGCCTGCGTGTGCCCCTGCAGCGTGCATGCCCGGCTGGCTGTGCGGAAGCTGTACATCAGGACCCGGCCATCGGCGCTGCCCGTCACCAGCAGGTCACCGCCTGGGGAACACTCGCAGCCCACTGAGTAGCCCTCCACCTGCAGAGAGTGACACAGCGGGTGAGCAGGCCACACCTGCTCCTGGGGCTGCCTGTCAAGTAGGGGTGAGGACACCCACTCTACAGCTGAGCAGGCTGAAGCTGTGAGGTGACGGAGCAGAGCTGGGCTTCGCACCTCATGTCCCTGAGGACGAAGCCCAAGTCCCACCCATGAGGCTGCAGAGCCCTGGTGCAGGCCCACGTCACAAGGCCAGTTCCGCAGATCCAGCTGGACCAGCTGCAGCCCAGCTGAGGGAGTCTGGCCTCAGCGACAGTCACCGAGCCTCTGGCCCCCTCCACCCCAGTAAGGCTGGCCTCAATGCAGAAAGAGAAGGATGCAGAAATGACAGCCGTGACATTCCGCCCTGCTCCTGCCCCCACCTCTGTGGCCTGTCGGTGTGAGCCAACTACTGCTTCTTGCCCAGTACCTGGGCCTAGGGTGAGGACCAGATGTGGCTCAGGGACTTGAAGAGACAGCAGGCCACATGGTATGTGCTCACCCAGGACACAGAAAGCAGGATCCGCCCAGACCAAGGCTCCATGCAGCCCCAGGCCCATGTCCACGACTGGCAGGCAGCTTGGGGCTGGGGCTCAGCATTCGCCTGGGGGACAAGGACAGAAGTACCTTGTGTCCTTCATAGCGCCGCCGTCTGCTCATCCGGTAGGGCCACACAGTGGAGAAAAGGGCCAGGTAGTTGCCATTGGTCTGTGCCAGGAACACGGGTTCCCTCGGGTGCAAGGCGAGGCTGGGGCAGGTGAATCTCTCCTGAGAACGGCAGGGCCACAAATAGGTCAGAGAAGACATCCCCACCCAGCACTCTGCTCCGGCACCTGGGGCCTGCTCCCAGACCCTAGCTAGGTGTCTACATGGGTTTTCTACTGCTGCCCTCACAAATCACCACAAGCTTGGTAGCTCAAGACACACACATTTTGCATCACACAGTCCTGCGGGTCAGAAGTCTGAAAGAGGCCTCGCTGGGCTGAACTCAAGGTGCTGGCAGGGCTGCACTCCTGTCTGGAGACTGGAGGGGAATCCAGCTTCCTCCCCATTTCCCAGCTTCTACAACCTGCCTGCATCCCTGTGGCAGGCAGGAAAATGCCCCCCAAAATATACCCACGTTCTAATTCCTGAGACCTGTGAATGTTACCTTACAGGGTCAAAACCAAGGGTCTCTGCAGCCATAATTAAGGACTCTGGGATAAAATGATGATCTATATTACACACTAAATGCAGTCATGTGCAGCCTTATAGAAAGGAAGCCAAGGCCAGGCGCGGTGGCTCACGCCTGTATCCCAGCACTTTGGGATGCTGAGGCAGGAGGATCTCTTGAGCCCATGCGTTTGAGACCAGCCTGGGCAACACGGCAAAATCTCATCTCTACAAAAAAAGAAAGAAAGTAACAAAGGGAAGGTGCAGAGATGTGACACACAGTGAAGGTGGCGTGAAGATGCTGGCTCTGAGGGCTGGAGAAATGCAGCCACAAGCCAGGAACACCAGCTGTCACCAGAAGCCCGAAGAGGCTGGGACGGAGTCTCCCCTCAACCCTCCAGACAGGGCACACCCTGCCAACACCTCGATTTCGGCCCAATCATACTTAACACTGATTAAGAACTTTGGGCCTCCAGAACTGTGAGAGAATAAGTTTGTGTTCTTTCCGCCACCAAGTTTGTGTAATTTATCACACAAGGATGGAAAAGGAATCTATATGGCCATCTCCCCACCTCCACAGTAAGCCCCCAGGGACAGCCCAGCCCAGTCCAGGGGCCCACCCAGCAAATATGCACGGTAAGTGAGGAGGGAAGGGGCCAAACGAGAAGAGAAGTACACAAGCCTCAAAACACAAGTGGTACGCGATCTCACCACTTCACTGACATGGTCCCACAGAAAGCACCCGAAAACCGTCCCCTCGAGCTGGCTTTACATTGTTCTAACCAATGTCCCTAGGCCACACTCTCTAAGTGAGCCCAAACTCAGAGGGCAAAGTGGGGAGCAGCAGGAAGGACAGCTGCAGGCTGATATGCCCATCACAGGCACAGAGGCTGGCGTGGCCAGATAATGAGCTCCCAGTGTGACGGTGCTGGGCAAGCACCTGCTCCCTCGGCAGACAGCATGGAGTGCAACTACAGGAGGGTCAGTAGTTCAGGCACAAGGCACCTTCATCTGCCTCACTTCCCCTGGGCTCCTGGAGGTAGGTCACCCTCAGAGGCCAGATGCGCCCCGCCAGCTCCCTTCCAGGGCCTGTCCTGACCAGTGGGTTGCACTGGGACACCCTGCAGTGAGGTCTAGAAACAGGTTTGCTCAGGGCCGCTTAGAACCCATTGAGAACAAGGAAAAGGCAGGGAGGAAAAGAAGGTGTACACGGGATATGTATTTCATGTACACCCACATATACACACATGACATAGCTTTAAATTCAGAGAGTCATCACAGGCTAGTTGAAATCTCAAAAGATGGTGGTAGTGGTGGTGGTGGTGGCGGTGGGGATGGTGATGGTATAATAGAGATGGTGGTGGTCACGGTCATGGTGGTGGTGGTGGAGATGCTGGTGACGGTGCCGACATAGTGTGGTGTTGGTGGTGGTATCGATAAGAGACGGTAGTGGTGACAGAGGTGGGGTGGTATAATGACAGCAGTGATGGCGGTGGTGGTGATAGATGCTGGTGACGGTGGTGTGATGCAGCTGGTGGTAGTGACAGAGATGATGGTGGTGCAGCAATACAGATGCCAGTGACAGTGAGGGTGGTGGAGATGGCAGAGGCGATGATGGTGATGGTGGTGGTGGGAATGAGAGTGGTGGTGGTGACAGTGATGATGACATTGGTGGTGCTGGGGACAAAGAGGGTGGTCGTGGTGATGGTGGTGATGACGATAATGGTAATGCTGGTGGGGATACAGATGCTGATGCTGACGGTGGTAGTGCTGGTAATAACGGTGGTGGCAGTGACAGTGGCGGTGCGGTGGTGCTGGTGAGGGTGGCGGTGCTGGTGAGGGTGGCGGTGCTGGTGAGGGTGGTGCTGGTGAGGGTGGCGGTGCTGGTGAGGGTGGCGGTGCTGGTGAGGGTGGTGCTGGTGAGGGCGGTGCTGGTGAGGGTGGTGGTGCTGGTGATGACAGCAGTGGTGGGAATAGAGTGATGCTGATGGTAGCACTGGTGGCGGTGATGGTGGCGATGACACGGTGGTGGTAGTGATGATGACAGTGGTGATGGTAATGACAGTTAAAGTTGGATAGAGCACTCCCTGTGCCTGGCACTGTGCTATACCCTTTACAAAAATTCTCTCTCTCTTAATTCTCAAAACTGTTTTTTTCATAAGGAAAGTAAGAATCAAACAGGCTAAATAGCAGGCCCAGGGCTCTCTGCCTGATAAGGTGCTAGTGAATCCCAAACCTTAATGCAGGTATTCTAACTGCGGGGCTCCTGTTCTGAACTCCTGGGCTCTACCACTTGCCAATGCCACTGAGGATCAGAAACCCCTTCTGAGTGGCTGATTGTGGCAGTGGAAGGGTGGGGTTTCTCAGGTTGCACGGCTGTGTTCCCCACTGATCTGGACTGATCTGCCCCCAGACCCTTACCTTGGTGGAGGAGCTGTGCTGGCACAAGAAGAGCACAGAGGAGGCTGCATCTGGAAGCCCACAGAAAGCTCTCCATGTGTGTGTGAGGCTGAGCCCTGCCTCTGCTACCCCTATCCTGAATATATCAGTCAAGTAAGTCCCCTCCCACGGAAGGGGCCTGGGACCTCAGACAGATCAGAACTACACGGATACACCCTGTGGCTGAAACTGACAGCAATGACAAATGAGATTTCTTACATGGAAAATCTGATTGGAGATTTTGGCAGAGGTCCGGAAATCCCAGGCAATAATGGTGCGGTCAGCCGAGTCCCGGGTGGAAGCATCCGTGCTGCTCAGGAACTCGGAGCCTTCCCGGAGGAACAGGATGTCTAAGGTCTGCTGAATGGTGGCCTTGTAGCTTCTCATCACCTGCAAGAGTGGACATCGGTCATGCTGGCAGGCCTGGGAGCACAGGACATGTGCCTGCCCAGGGAAGGCCAAGGACCCAGGGGACTGCGGGGCAGCTTTAGTGAAGTCTATGCTGGGCCACACACAACCAGGCTGAGCAGCCCAAGTCGTATGTGGAATCATAGACCCTCCTGCCCCAGGCCCAGGCCAGTGTCTGTCAACTTCTCAGCCCTGCTGCTCTATTGCCACATGAGTCTAGAGAGGCATTCCTACCGCCCCTTGAGAGCAGCAGGATCCCAAGAAAAGCACTAAGCGAAGGGCCCTTGACTTGCCAAGGGCACCTTGAGAGCATATTGACATCCATCAACACTGGGGTCATGTTTTGAGTGGGACTTGCTTCTGAAGACGTCACATAATTCACAGCTCGCCAAGTCCCAGACTGTTGTCCCTGGAGGAGCCCCGGTAATGCAGGAGCAAGTGTGCTTGGGGACCATAAAGCCAGAATCACAGGACATATTTTAGCTTGAACGACCCTTTATATTGTTTTAGCATCATCACTGACACTTCACAGTCTCCTGTCTCATAAACTAACTTTATTATCAAGCAGTTGTTTTGCTTTCATAGAGGATTTTTTCACATTCAGCCTCTGCTCTCAAATGTCCGGTTCTGGTGTGGAGAAGGGTCCCAATACCAGGACTAGCAAGTAGCTCCACTTAACAAACCCACAGAGGACAGGACTTTAATTACAACATGGAAATAAACGGCTGGGCACCCACATGCAGCAAGGTCTCAAATCCGTCACAGGGCCCAGCTGGTCCCTTTACCAGTTCCTGGGGTGCCACCATGTGGCTGCAGCATAAACAGTTCAGTCCTGGGCCCCGCCAGCTCAAACGTGAACCATCTTGACTTTTTAATTGGAGTTCATACCTTTCAAATTTTGGAGACATATTTTCTATCATCCTCCTTAAAATGTATACACGTCAAATTCACATTAACTGTAGAACTCCATAATTTCAGTTTACGTTAGAGGAGGAGGAGGAGGTTGAGACCCATTCTCCGGATGAGGTTCACTGAGCCCCAGGAAGAGGCAGAGATTGGCTCAAAGTCACATGGCCAGGGCACAGTGGAGCCTCTTCTGACTCCCACGGCTTCCCTGGGGCCGGCAGTTCATTCTCCTGCTGGCCAATTCCTGCCTCTGTAATTCTTGTGGGCAACAGATGACTCTTCCAAAGCAACCCTCAGCTAGGGAGATTTCAGAGCGGGCCCCCTGAAACCTAAAGAATGATCTAGGAGTGGGAAAAACAGTCCTCTGGATGCAGGACAGAGAGACCAGCTGCCTCACAGCAAGGCTGCCAGCCTTCCTCCTCACACTGCATTCAGCATGCCTGCGCCTGCTCTAACCTCCCACATGGCCTTGATACCACAGCCCCCACCAACCTCAACACCTCGATCCCTAAGAGGCTGACCCAGGGAAAGGATGAAGAAGATGATGGCCCTCCCTGCCACTCACTGAGTGCCTATGAGGTGCCAGCCCCTGGCTGGGAGGCTCACGTAAGTTATCTCACAACAAGCCCCAGAGGTAGCTTCTATCAGTGGGCATGTAGACTCAGAGAGAGAACTTGCCCAGGAGCTGATAACCACCTGCATGCCCCTGCCAACACACCACCTGCCTCCCAAGACAAACTTTTTGAGAACCAAAACCATTGTTCGGTACATTTTCTGAGAAGGGATGGAAATAGCCCAATTCATTAGGGTGTCATAAGAGTGAACGTCCAGGAAACAAGCCGTGTTACAGGTGATCCCCGCCAACAATGCAGCTGTAAGCGGAAGGTCGGCCTTTGAAGTGATAGCCCCCGAACATGATTTACTCGCCTTCACAACTGCTCGTGCCCCAGCAAAGAGCAGAGGAGCCATTATATGTCTAGCTGGTGGGTTTTATGGCAACCTTAATTACACCGACAGCTGGTGTGGGACGGTGCTACCAGGGCCTAACGAGCCGGATCCAAAAGGGAGGCTCACTCAGGCTCTTCTGGCAACTGTGGGCCCCTGGTGGAGAAGTAGGGACGTGGTCTTGGGGAAAATGGAAGATCGATCATGGTACATGCAGGGGTTATGTCCCTACAATCTGCCCACCACTCAGCGCACAGCACACCTGGGTGACTCTGGGCTGCTGCCAACTCGTCCAGAGCAGCCTTGGGTTCCTGCCACTTCCAGAGTGCATGGGGTTGGGGGTGCTCACTCAGCTCCAATCTTGGCCCACTGCTGATTTACTGAGTGCCTGAGGAGGGCTCGTTCCCTCCCTGGCTTAGCTTTTGAGTCATCAGCACAAGGGGCCTGAATGGACAACGACCTCACCTCTGAACCTCTAAGTACTACTGGTCCTCAGAAAGGACTGGCGGATGGACCCAGCTATACCTCACCCTATGCTGCCAGTCCTCTGCACCCAGACCTGAAGGACAGGAGGCGGGGAGGCGCTGCTCTGGGCTCACATGCAACCCTGTGCTCCCTTTGATGTCCACCTCGGCCACCTGCCTACGCCATAGGTCTGTGAGCTCCTGACACAGACGCTCTGCTGCCCACATTTCTGGGTCACTGTTGGCTAGCAGTAAGATGTGTTGAATTATGCTGGTTAAGTGAGTGCATAAACAAAAGGTCGACTACCTTAAAAGTAGCAATCCAGTGTCCTCTGGCTCCCAACAACATCCTGGCACGCAGGGCTGAGGCAACGCACAAAAGCCTTTGCCATTGGCTCTACCAGGACCCCTGGGGGAGATGACATTCACTCACAGGTCCTTCCCAAGGCCCTGAGTGAGCCAGCCCCTGTCCTGCCCCTCAGACACAGAGACAATGGAAAGCTGCTCCAAGACCTTGGTGGGAGGTGGGAGCACAGCAGGACTGTGCTCCGTGCTGCAGTCTCACAGGTGCCCAGAGGCAGGTGAGGCCTGGATGAGCAGGGGTCAGATGCCACGTGGGAGGGCCCAAGCCCTTAGGCAGACACTTCGGGGACCTGAGCCTGGCAGCCTATTACTGGCTGCATAATTTTGGGCAAGTAACTTCCCTCTCTGTTCTTCAGTCTCCACGCCTGTAAAGTGGGGTAACAACAAGACCTCCAGCTGAGGAAGTAAGGGTGACATTCCCCAACTAAATGCCCAGCACACCTGAGCCCGTTGTCGTAAACCTCCTCCCCACCTAGCTAGAGCGAGAGTCCCCAGGATGGAGCTGTGAGTTCTTGGGCAACTCCCAAAAGTAAATGTGTTGTCTTCTTCGAGTGCCAAGATGCAAGGCAAAGTGGAGGGGTGGCACAGGGCCCACTGCTTTGGTTTAAACTCGCAACAGCAGAAGTCGCCAATCACATAGGATGGTGGCTATCAAAACAACTGACATTTACATTAAACAAAGGAAACTATAACTATGAGAAGAAAACATGATTGAATTTCTCCACAACCTGGGACTAGGGGAAACTTTCCCAGCTATGACTCCAACACCAGAAGCAGTAAGAGAAAAGCTGAATAAATTGGACTATATAAAAACAATAATAACTGTTTTTAAAAACACTTTGGGGTGGCAAAAAGCAGCAAGTAAGTAAATAAATAATAAATAAGTAAAGTAAAAAAGACAAGTAGGAGAAATATTTGCAACTTCTATTACAGGCAAAAGTTGCTATCTGTAATACATAGATGGTCCCTAAAAATAGATGAAAAAGATTAATAGCTCTACAGAAAAATGAGCAAGATAAGTAAGCAGAACTCAGAGAAAAGGAAATGGTCCTTCTGCTTTGCTCATAACAAAAGCAATGCAAATGTCAATCACATAGAGATACCATTACTTGCGTATCAAATTAACAAAATCCAAAAGTTTTGCAGCACCCTTGTTAGGTGTCTCTGGGGGTGGTAGGTATCGACATATGGCTGCCAGAAATGCAAATGGCACAAGCCCTGTGCAGAAAGGATTTAGACAACTTTGAGCAAAATAACGTATGTATCGTTACTCAGCAATATGCATGACCCAGCAACCCCACTTCTAAGAAACAATCCTAAACTTACACCAGCAAAATCCCAAGGAGATATAAGCACAATGCCACTGAAAGCAGCACTATTTGTAAAAATAAAAAAGAGGGAACAACCCAATGTTCATCGAGAAAGGACTGGCTGAATAAACGTTAGTACATTAACACTCTGGACCACTATGCAGCTGTAAAAAAAGAATGAGGAACTTATCCTGCTATGGAGTGATCGCCAGGACACACTGTTCAGTGAAAAAAATGCAAAGTGGGAGAAAAAAATTGTGTAAAGTAAGTAGAAGAGGTGATAGGAACATGTGTGTGTTTGCTTCCACTAAGAAGCAGTGAGAAGATAAACTAGGAACTAAAATAAGTAAATAAATAAGATTGCCTTACGAGGAAGGGAGGGGAAAATAATGGGAGAGACAGGGTTAAAGGTAGAACATGGATGATTTCTCTAAATGTACCTTGTTTTGTAGATTTCTCTCTAGAACAGGGGTTACAAATTTTTTCTGTAAAGAGCCAGTCAAAATATTTTAGGTTTTGTAGGCCGTATATAGTCATTGTTATATACAATTCTCTGTGTGTGTGTGTGTGTGTGTGTGTGTGTGTGTGTGTGTGTGTGTGTGTTAGAGCTGATTAAAAATGTAAAAACCATTCTTTGCTCAAAGGCCATAAAAAACAGGTCACAGGCCAGATCAGGCCCATCAACTGTAGTATGCCAATCCTACCTCTGGATCCATGTACACACTTTATTTAATTATGCAAGAAAATTAACTTAAAAAGCAATCTCTATAATGTAAAAGCAAAATTAACCATGTATTGACTTGGTAGCTTAAATGCACAAATAAGATTTCTTTTAAAAGACCTGAAACACAGTAATTTAATGGTAAATCCTTAATTGAATATACGTTATTAATAGAAAACCAGCAATATGGTGGTAAATCCTAATTAGATACACATCATGAACAAAGAGAACTGCAAGAAATCTTAAAGTGTTTTCAGTCATTTCACTGTTAGT